ACCACCACGACGACGACTACTGCTGCCACTACCACTACTACTGCTGCTGCTGCTACTACTACTTCTACGATGAAGACGATGACAGTTACTACTGTAGAGCGCTGTCATTCTTTTCCAAGCTCCGACATGTTCGCCCCAGATATGAACTGTTCCAGCTGAAAATTCCAGTGTTGTTATCGAGATACTGGCGTGGGCTATGGTCCAGAGATCATCCAGAATGCTAGGGCCCTGGACTACTGGACTGGCTCAATCTGCAGTGAGGCCGAAGGTACAAGGCTTCAGTGCATGGAAGTGTCTGACTCTGCGGCATCGTGAGTGGATTGATGCCTGACGTGTCCTGATTCTGCTACCTGTTGAGCTGCTGCCGTTCCCACATGTGGTTCAATCGGGTTCCAGGCCTATACTATGCTCTACACAATGTTTGGGCAGGGGCCTTGGACACTTCTCACAGGGGAGGGAAAGGCCCATCAGAGTTGAGGCCCGAGACTACAGAGGGACGGACGCGACGGACGGGGTGTCTGAGCGAAGTGCCATGAGGATCTAAGGGCCAAGGTTGCATCGGCGCATTGCTCGCCTTCGGAGGGGAGGTTCAGAGAGTCTGTGTGCTGATGGGGCCAATCGCAATGGTTGCATCAGGGCCTAGTGGGGTCACCTCGAGGTACATCATCATCCAGGGCTCAGCGTTTCTGGTCGACAAGATGCCTAAGCCTCTGGACCGGAGCTCGTCAGATTGGCTTCTTGCGACTGCTTTGGCCGTTGTCGTGTTCCAGCTCGCGAAACTCGTCCAATAATGTGTGTAGAGCTTGAGTCCGGGTCAGCTGTTCAGAAGCCGTGGCAGGACAACCCAGCGAAGGGTGCGAAGATGCAGCGGCACGAGGCTTCTAAAGATTCGGTGCTCTGCTATGCCCTGTTAAGGCTAGGTGTGCAACCTCACAGTCAGTCATTGCGAGATGTTCCTGGAGCTGGTGCATAGGCCGAGTACGAGAACATTTTCGCTCTCCTCGGGCTCTTCGTCTGCGCAGGCTTCTTCCTGCTGCTTGGCTGTGCCCATGGCCTTAGGGAGCAAAGCCGTCCCAGGATTGCAGGATGCATTGTCATATCATACTGATGTACTACATGTGGAGCTAGTCGAGGAAGGGCAGTGCTGTGGTGCAAATCTTCATGTATGATGGACACACACACACACACCTATATGTCGCCCAGGTGGTACCTATGGAAGATGTGGCACCCATCTTAGCAGAGTGTGTGACTTGCACGTACGACAGAAACTGCATGGAGGCATGTACAAGGGATCCTTGGTTTGCCTGGTAGCTTCACTGTAACAGCAAAAAGAGGTGACAATTAGAGTGAACGGCTCCAGGAGCTCAAGAGCTGGTTCAAGGGGCCCATTCACACGAAGAAGTGCGGGAGTTGCTACGGCAGGGAGAGAGAGGCACACACCCACGCGAGTAGCAGAAGCAGCACATCACACCGGCTCTGTTTCGAGCATCCCGAGCTGAAACTCCGCTAGACCTCAAGCGCGTGTTTGGAGTTCGGAGCCTTTGGAGCTCCTGACAACTTGGGGACGGGTGAAAGCTCGGGTGTCAGGAAAGAGTCGCAAGGCGGAGGGGGCGCAATCAGCGACGCAATCGCCGAGAGCACCATCCAGGCTGGAGGGCCGGGAGTAATTAGTGTGGAAAACCTTGCTTGTGCCAGGATAGTGTCCTCGGCCTTTCGTTGAGGGTGGACCAATTCCATGGAGCACTTGAGCACTCGTATACTGTATGTACACTTCCAAAAATCTGCCCCGGCGACATGGAAGGCCATGCGAGATGGCAGCACCGGCGAAGCTTGTGAGGGCTTGGAATCACAGGGGTTGAGCTTAGACATGTTTGCAAACTTCGGGGCCTTGGTGAGACTCCGCATCCAGATGCTGGCTGGGCACTGGCCAGGCACCCTTACGCTCCGTGGGGCCATGGCTTCCTTCCGCGACAAGCAGTGGTGCGCCTGCTTCTACATCATCTTCTTCTTCTTGTTGCTGCATATATTCGTTTTCGACCGTACTGGGTCAGTCCAGGAGCAACATGTGCAAGAAGGGCGACCTCACAGAGGCACAGTTGTCTTTCGAAGCCGTGTGAAAGGCAGTCAGGCAATGCTAACTAGATTACATGGTCGATGACTTCAAACTGCCGACAGCATCCATATCTGTGTGCTTCGGGTAGGGGCGTGGGCTCTTTCCTTTTCTGAGGTTCTCCTTAACAAGGAGTCGATGGATGAAGTTCGGCGCATGTGCAAGGCCTGGTGCATCAGTTCCCAGATCGTTGACAGAAGGTAGAAGCTGCAAACACTCGACATGGGGTCCTTCGCTGAAGAGGTGCTGGCACCCTTCTTCGCCATGTACGACGCCAACGGCAACTTGCCGAGAGGATGGATGCATAGGTCCATACCTAAATGGAGGCCCTCCTTGATTCACGCCAACATGCTACAGCTCGCCTTGTGCTGCATCGGCTGTGAACTGTGCAGCTACCGAGCATGCTAAGCTTCACGATCACTTCATGGAGTTGAGGCGACAATGCCATAGACTTCGAGGAGTTCCGCATGATCTTCAAGGAAGCGCATAGAGAACGGCGGTCATGTCAGGCTTTGGCAGTTCTTTTTTCTTAGTCGACCGTCAAGTGCGAAAGAGCATTGCTGCTTCCATGCCGGCACCCACATTTCACGAAATCAGTGGATAGACCCGAACTCGCATCCATGATGCTTCTACCTTCTGTCTGGCAGGATGTTGGCAGCTTGGTTGCAGACAGTCTTTTCGGACCTGCGCTTGCAGAGTCCCCGTTGCATGAGAGTCTGCCAGACCGAAGTTCGCTTCTCTCCGTCTCCCCTTTCTCTTAAATGTAAAGACTTCGCATCGTCCGCCTCGGACGGGCGGCAGGCGAATAGTCGAGAGGCGCAAAAATTACCGGAGGAAGCTCACAGAACATGCGCGGGGGTGGGCGGGCCTTCTCAATCAACGCTAAGGGAGGGGGGGACATTAACAGAAGGGGAAGCAGGGTTTCTGTGCGGGAAGCCCAGACCGCTTCGGCCGGGTTGGGGCAAACCAAGGACATTTTGCCGTCTTGCGGCATGACTCTTGCATTCCGTAACGCCAGGTGAGAACCTCTCCCGGGAAGCGCAGTACGCAATGTTCGACGCAGCAGACACAGCACCGACCTCGGTCCCAAGCTGCGCCATCGCCGGATCTCCTGGTCACTAAGCCACGGCCACGCTCTGGAGATAATTGCAAGGCAGATGTAATTATGCGTTTCGCGCAGCCCACGCCCTGAATTGTGGTTTCCTGCATCCGCGGCATGCGAAACGCGCCGCAGAACAAGAGCAGCGACATCAGCTTCGAGGACGGCCGCAGCTCGCAGTTTTAGTTGTTCTCAGATGAAAGATGTGTGGAAGTGGACTCTTGCGCTCCGAACTGGATGAGAGCAAGAGAAGGCTAAGCCCGAAGACCTCGGTCTGCGAGTTTCATGGCTTACCAGCTGCAGTCTCCCACGGGGGCCCAATTGTAGCTCAAGTTTTACGACCGGTTGAACGGAAGCAAGTTAGCAGCAAGTTGTAGCAGCCGTGCAGCACAGCCCAGAGCCAAGCGATGGCGACGACTGTTGCACCTCGGCATCCACAGAAGCCCTGCAGAGCTTGGGGTTCCAATCGCTTTGGAAGGTTGCGGGTGGCTACCATGGACCTGTGCCGAGTCGATATGAGGAGGCAGCGCAAGTCTGGGGTAATGTGCTTGACTCCCGCTCCGCTTCCCCTGTCTCGCGACCCGCGAGGAGGAGGTGGGGTCACTGAAGTGGCTGCTGAAGGAGGCTGAGGTGGGAGGGCCCCGCACACTCTTTGGCTCAGGGGCTCAGGGCCGTGGTTTCCTTAAAGACCCCGCGACCACGAATAGGTGACTTGGTACGAGCACGAGCCGGCACATCAGCGCACCAGAGAGGCGGTAAAGAAAGAGGACGGAGATGCTCTGTTCTTTTTTCGTTGCTGTTCTCCAAAAGGGATCGGCATGGAAGTACGTGACTAACTTGCCTCGACCGCAGCAAGAGACAGGACCTTGACGGCTGCATGCAGGAATACATGGTCAGTCTCTTAGCACAGCGAGTGCTGAGAAGCCCAAGCCAAAGTAAAGCCCTTCTTCTACTTCTTCTTATGCCCCCGGAAAATTCGGGCCGATGTCTCGGCTCGTAGCCCTTCTCTGGAAGGTCCAGCAGCGCTTCTCCGAGCGCGTCAGCCTCCGGAGGCGTGTGGTCGGGGCCTCGGAGACGGAGAGCGGAGAGGGGCTTCGAGGGCAAAGTTGCAAAGTGCGGGGCCACAGAGACCTCTCTTTCCGAACTGTTGCTGAGGTTTTGCAAAAGTCGGTGTTCACTGTAAATGACACTTTAGACTCATTGAATTGACCCATTGACTGACGGTATCTGCTGAGAGTACTACGACTTTTCCAGCGAACGACCCGATGTTGAGTCAAAAATGCGGGGTAACTACCTACTGCTTGTTGCTGTCCTAGCCGCTACCTGCTGACGAAGTAGCAGGCCGTTCGTGAAGCTTTCGAAGGCAACGGTCGGCAAATAAGCTAGAATTTGGACATGCAGCACGAGAAGACTTCTCTTCACGCCTTCGTATTCATTCTGCAACTGCTACGGCGGCAACGATGTGCCTGCGACTGCTGCTGTATTCTGCTACCACCATGTCTCAAGTGCTACAGCTGCGGGCAAGATGTGCATGAGTGGCCAAGCGACCAGGGCTTTTCTGCGGCCGGGATTCGGAGTTGGGGCGACCATTCTCAGTTCGGTTCCCATGCTGCAGAGCCCAGGAGGTGATCCACAAGGGTGGATCTCCGGAAATCCAGGACCGCTGGGGCGCGTCGGGCAGTACAGTCCCTCTGGTGGTTGTTCTCGGTATTTGTGACTCGAAGCCCCCATTTGTCTAGACCGGTGGACAGCTGGGTGCAGTTCCGGAAGATTCGCATCAGCCGCTCCCTTGAGACCCAGCATCTCACCGAATGACGCTTGCAAAAACGAGGGCTGCGTAGTTGGCGGCCAGTCCCCACTTGGGCCTGAAAGATGCGAAGTTGAGAGATGAGATCTTCTTTCCGGCATGGCCTTGGACAGGAATCCTGTGCAGCCCTGGCGAGGGGCTGCTGTGCGCTGTACCTCGGCCAAGTTATGTCGCAGGGTTAGTTTCTTGTGTGTCCTCCCCCCCACACCCATTCTACGTGCCCTGCGCACCCAACTCCATGCATATCCATGCATGCACCTCTTGGCACTCCTCCGCACTCCTCCCCTCCCCCCACTGCACCCTCTTTCCATCCACCACGCAGCCCCCCCGCACACTCGCAATTTGCTCTGAATAGAGATTCGATGGCCAGAGATTGGGTCGAGGCTTCATGCAAGCGGCAAGCCTTTCAATTTTCGGGACGTGCATTGGAATGTCGAGCCCGATGGTAAGACTTTAAGACGGTTGCTGCACGGGTCCGACTTCGCCTGGCACTGCCGTTCGAAAGCAGGCCGCTGCTAACCTGCGCTGCTGGCATACGGGCTGTCGCGGAGCCGTCGCAGCCTTGGGTTGCTTCGTCTTCGCACTCTTTGGCAAACAATGTTGGACTGTTTCTTGCTTTTCGGAACGTGTGAAGCAGCTTAGCTCGGTTTTGGATGGGAGCATCTGGCTCTGAGGATACGAACGTGCTGGGCCGAAGGAGTCCAGCAGTGCAGCTCCGCGGCCGCAGCGAGAGGGGTCCTCGCATCTTTTGTTTGGAATCCGAGACAAGGACGAGGGCAGCCTTGATTTGGAGACACAGGGTACCCCAAAAGCTTGACAGTCCATACCGAAGCGGCTGCAAGCCAACATGAGGTCGGATGGCCGAGGCTAGCCAGCAACGAAGCCACGGCTGCCTTCTGTGCTTGTCTAAGTTTGATAAAGGCATGGCCTGGTATCCTGAGTTCAGGATCGTGGGTGCAGCTTGGGATCAGAGCTTGTGACGATGTGAGGTGAATTTTTTGAATGAAAACACGGTTTTTGCAGAACCTCTGCTGGAGCCAGGAAACCCTGCATTAAGATCGGAGAAATTTTGCCCGGGTGCTTCTGCCATGGCCCTGGAAGCGAAGCAAGCGACGCTTTCTGCCCTTTTACTTGGAGTTGGCATTGGCTTTGGACTGGAAGTGCTGCGCCGGCACCTGACCAGAAGACAGGCCCAGGCAAAGGAGGGAGGAACGGAGGGGAGCAGTGCGGTAAAGGAGAGCACCATTCGCCTCATGTCGCGCCTGGCACTTCAGCACGGTGCGATCAATCTCTCGCAGGGGTTTCCCAACGAGCCACCGCCCACAGCGATGCTGCATGCGGCTGCTGGAGCCCTGCTCCAAGGGGGATCCCTGGAGGAGGCTAAGGCCTTGGCAGAGCGCCTGGAGCCGCTGCTCTCAGAAGAAGTGCCGCAAAGACAGCAGCGTGACTTGCTCTCCCAATACTCCTTCCCCTTCGGCCTACCTCTTCTCAGACAGAGCCTTCAGAAGTACTATGCCCGCTTCTATCCGGGAATACAAGCAGATTCCGAGGAGAACATCACGGTGGTGCTGGGTGCCACGGAGGGCTTTGCCTGTTCGCTTCGCACCATCTGTTCACCAGGCGATCGTGTGGTTTTTTTCGAACCCTTCCACGAGCTGTATCCAAGCCAGTGCAAGTTATGGCACTTGATACCATCTGCGGTGACGTTGACAGAAGAGAGTGGAGAGTGGAGGTTCGACTCGGCTGAGCTCGAGGAGGCTTTGAGCGGGGCCAAGGTCTTGCTACTCAACACCCCGCACAACCCCACAGGCAAAGTCTTCACGGAGTCTGAGCTTTCTCTCATCGCTGCCCTATGCATCAAGCATGATGTTCTGTGCGTAACTGACGAAATCTACGAGCACATCGTTTTCGACGGTGCAGCTCACGTTCCCGCTGCCATGGCACTTCAGCCTGGAATGGCAGAGAGAACCTTTGTCGTCAACGCAGTCAGCAAAACCGCCCGAGCCACTGGCTGGCGAGTGGGTTGGGTGATCAGCCCTGCCAAGTACACGCAGGCACTTCGTGGAGTTCACGATCAGCTGGTGTTACAGGCACCCACCCCGCTGCAATACGGAGCTGCCTCCATGCTTTGTATGGACGACGCTTACTTTGCTAGTCATGGGCCGGAATACATGGCGAAGCGAGACATCCTTCTTCCAGCACTTCGCAGTGCAGGCTTCCGTATCGCCGCGAAGCCACGGGGTGCTTACTACATCTTCGCGGACTTCCTCCATGTACCGGCCCTGCAGGGCTTATCACCAACAGAGGCCGCTATGAAGATGACCAGAGACATTGGGGTAGCCTGTGTTCCAGGGGACAACTTCTATCTTGGGACAAGTCGAACTGCTCCTCATCTGGGTGCGAGGTACCTGCGCTTTGCCTTTGTGCGGTCTAGCGACCTGCTTTTGCAGGCGGCCGCATTGCTGAAGCAGCGGCTCTGAGACGTACGTCCCTGCCCAGCAGATCGCCTGCATCTGCAAAGAACTGCTACATTGTGCTCGCAAAGTGGGTTTCCAAACTGCGCATCAGCCGATCAGCTGAGGAGCTGATCGGCTGATCGGCTGGTCGGGTTTAGGGTTTAGGGTTTGGGGGTTTTGGGTTGAGGGGTTTAGGGTTTATTTAGAGTTTAGGGGTTTAGGGTTTAGGGGTTTAGGGGTTTAGGGTTGATTGGCTGATCGGCTGATTGGCTGATCGGCTGATGCACATTTCTGAGCCCAAAAGCTACGCACACTTTGAAACATTAGGAGAAGCCAGCTGTTCCCACGGGGTTACGTAAATAAGATTGCAAATCTGGGAACAAACACTCTGGGGCACCCTCTCCAGGTGCTCGGAATTTGTTGCTTCGGAATCGGATGGGCATGTTTTGCATAGTTAAGGCTTGCTTCAGTAGTTGTTAGCTTCCCACAGCATGGGAAGCCTTTGGTTCAGTTGAACTACCCGCTTTTCATGACTGCCTGCAGGCAGAGGCACAGTCGGAGAGGCCTAGAGACTCCTCTTCTGCTTCTTGTAGCCATGTGAGGGCAGACAGTCAAATTGCATTCTTGACGATTCGGAGGCTCGGCCTCTCCCCAGCGCACGGAGTCCAAGGCAGGAAGCTCAAACTTTACGAGCTTGCCGGGAGTGCAAGCCGGCATGGACGAGATCGTAGTGGACATTCTACCTCATGCTTGTGGTCGTAAGTATAAGCATCGAAGCCATGCATGCTTCTAGCGTCCCAACATCCAGCAGGACGAAATAAGCGGTGGACAACTGTGCTGTGGTCGTTGTTGGTGTCTCAAATGTGTCAAGCACGCTGCTCTGCTGATATCAAGGTGCACAGCTGCCGAATTGATGAAACCCGGCGGCTTGATCTCACACTTTCTCCCGCCGCTCGCATCTGCTTTCTGCAGCATGATAGTTAATCTTAGTGGGGCATCCTGGAGCCACAGTCTTGAGATTACTTGCCTCCGCTCCTGCAGACAGCGAGAAACAGCGAGAAGCCACAGAACATGAGGCAGCTCAAAGAAGCAGCCAGCACCTTGTCTCACAGATATGCGCGAAATTCCGAGACCCCTGAAGTTCCGGACGACCTCAGACTGAAGAACGAGTCATAAGTGCAAGTGCAGGAGTTCGTGGCCTGCCTCATGTCCTTCGCCCTGGATCCGAACACCGACCTCCAGGCTGACAGCGGAACAGCACGTTGCGGTTTCCCGGTTCTTCTCTTGGTCTTGAAAGCGGGTCGGTGTCGTCGAATGGCATCGGCTGGTATGGCACATGGGTTCAGCAAGTATTGATTCAGACACTACTGCTACCACTCCTGCTACTACTGCGACAGCGACGGCTACGACTAACAGCATTATTGCTACTACTGTTACTGCTGCTACTACGACTACTACTAATACTACT